AGGGGTGTTATCTTTATTTCCCGAAGTTAAACCGTGTTTGTGATTTAGGAAGAATTTCCTCAATAACTAAGTACTGCTCAGTCATTTCTTTAAGAGATATTTTAGAGTTAATTTCATTAATTCATCAGTAAAGCTTAGAGGACACTATGAGAAATGATATAAGATTGGTCAGAATTCACAGTAAATGTTTTCTCTAAGCAATAATACTCAATTCACAAGTGTTTTTCACTATAATTCTTTTAATTTAAATAAAAGCCTATTTATTTTGCATAATTAATTATACAGTTTTACTTGATCTTTGGAGAGAAAAACAGCTCTCTATTCATTTCTAGTTATAGGAAAGAATTATTATGAACATTTCTGCATCATTATACCCTTCTTGACCATTGCTCGTGATTAATGTTAATACACCAATTTTTTTGTTGGTTTATTAATTGTTAGCATATATTTCTTGATAGCTATTAAATGGCTACTGTTACATATTGTTATCTTTTCAAAAGTTACGAAGAATATTGTTCAGGTTTTTTCACATCTTTCGATAGAGAAGCCAGAATGTGAACCAGGTAGTTTATTTGTTTTACATATGATCAATTCATATTCAGAAAAATAGCCAGTGAATTTATTTAGGTAATCTACACAGCCTAATCATGTTGCTGCCGAGACATGTAGCCTCTTCTCTTGCCATAACAAATTTTAAACTTTGACACCAAATGTTGAAATTTCCTTAATATCTCTTAGTTCAAGGCATAAGTGGTCACTGAAGAGGCAGTGCACCTTATAGGAATTAGGATTACCTGTGGCACCATTGTTTTATCTGACCCTCTCAACTTTTCCTAATGGCTTCAGTGGTATGGGAGGCATACCTATGCTCTGAAGCCCTGGAGGATAAAGTTAATTCTCTGCCTCCACTCTCCCAAGACCCTTTTTCAATGTTAAAGTGCGTGTGACAGTGATGACCATTCTTTGGGATCCAATAACAGTCTAAGCAGTGGTGACACACTCATTTTTATTCTCTGCTAATCCTGGGTGCAGTGGGGGATGAGATAAAGTAATTGGCTATATGGGCTTACTCTGCAGGATCTTTTTTTTTTCCAGAGATATAAAGACATTAAATATTTTTCTGACCAAGGCAAACCTGATAAAACTTGGAGATTATGGCCTAGCAAAGAAACTTAATTCTGAGTATTCCATGGCTGAGACAGTAAGTATGTGTTGCCCTTGTCTTATTTTCATTTCCTTTTCCTTTCCAGCACCATGAAATATAACTATACTCCCTAAATCTTGCACCCTTTCTCAGTATTCTTGCAAGTTCTCCATACTTACAAACCAAGTTGCCAGGAGCTTTTTTCCTTGGGCTCAGTAACAGTCCTTTATATGCTTAGGTGTTCGTTTACGAGTCATCGTCCACATTGCAGCTCTGACCTCATAGCCCTTTCTAGCACTGATTAGAGACTTTTCTAAAAAGCAACAAAATGCTTCACCTTATTTTCCAGCCTAGGATCTTTAGTTGATTTCACTTTATCTCTTATTTAATATTTGAGCATGAGATATTAGACATCTCTTTCTCTGTTTCCTTTGAATTTTTCTGGTGCAGAAGCCCTGTATTACAAATAAAGGCTGATGCCCAGCGAATTATCTGGTCTTTAATATCATACACAGTTTAAACTGTGGAGGTCCTTTCTCACCTGTTCATAAGAAAGCCTGTTGATAAACAGACGTAAGTTAATCTTTAAAGACAGTGATTTAATCCTTTTAGGAATTATAAAACCCAATTATTATTCTTATGGTTTCACAATTCTCTGTCCTTAAAAGAACTTTAAAATATAAGTTAATAAAATTAATTTTGTTCTGATGATGTTTTCTGATAATATTGAGCTCCTGTAGAATCAGTCTGGTCTTTTTACAGATTTTTCTCATGAAGAATAATAATCTGACAAAACCAAGATTTGATTTTTCTTAGCCAGTTAAATGCAAAGACGGAGTGATGTGAAAATTTATAAATGCCGTGTAAGCCATCTGAAAATTTCTTCGCTGATTAAAGATGGCTGTCAGTTTTATTAGAACTTCTGGGGCACTCATTATCTCTCATCTTGGGAGAGAGATGACCTCCATTCAAGACATTTTTGAAGAAATGTTTTTCAAACTTGAAAGAAATTCACTAGCTGTGTTAGTATTACAAATGTTAAATTGAGCCATTTAAAAAGTTTCATTACTATGCATTTCAGTTAGAACTTTTATTCAGTTACTTTTTTCCCCACTTCCAGTTTTTTGGTTTTTTTTCCCTTGATGAACTTTTACTAAGTATGTCTTTGTGTGAAGTCTTCAGAGGACCTTAAATGCCTGCAGCTTCTGTGATCTAGGAATCAGAGCTGTTGCAGCTCCCAGATTACCACAGTGCCTTTACCACATAGATTATCCCTTTATAATTTGCCCAAGAAAGTTGATATGAATGAGATTCCTTCCCATAGTGTCGTCATCTTATAACAACCATTATGGAATATGCTGATGAATGTTTTATGGTTGTTATCACTAGTTCCTGGGAAATATAATTAAGTTGTTGAACTATTAATATGGTTACCTCAGAAAAGAAGTTTTTCTTTGATTGTTTCCTTTGTTGTACAGCTTGTGGGAACTCCATATTACATGTCTCCAGAGCTCTGCCAAGGAGTAAAATACAATTTCAAGTCTGATATCTGGGCAGTAGGTTGTGTCATTTTTGAACTGCTTACACTAAAGAGAACATTCGATGCTACAGTAAGTTGATGTGTTATCCCTACATTTTCCTTGTAATGATACAGCTTGATTGAGAAAATCAACTTTATTTATTCCTGAGCTTCTGATTTATTGAACAGAAATCAACTGTAGGAAAAAATAACAACTAGTATTCAAGCTTTAGCTTAATAGCATATTATTAAAATTCTATAGATGAGACTTCTGTCCAACTTGAATTTTCCATTGAAATAATCATAATCAAGTAGTTTGAGCACTGTTCTTGAATTTGTTAACTATAATTTTAAAACTGGCTCTAGGATCAACTATGTGATGCTACAGTTTGGATAAGCCATTTCATTTCTTATGCTTTAGCTATGTCATTTTTTTTAAAAAAGCTAAGGCAAATTATGAAATACTCATTAAAATGTTTTGATCTTTTCATGAAAAATTACTCTTATTAAAGATTGCTATTGTTTTATGGATAACAAATCTCTTTAAGTCTTTTTTCTTTTGAAGTAAAGCCCAGTATAAAGCAGTTCTTCTCAAACTTTAATACATATTGGAAATCACCTGGGCATCTTGTTAAAATACAGGCTCTGTTTTAGTAAGTCTGGGGTGGGGCCAATACCTTCCAGATGATGTTGATGCCACTAGACCATGTCATAATTTGAGTAACAAGTGAATGCACATCCAATCTCCTTTACAAACCAGATGTGAGAACTTAGGCAAATCTCTTTATCTCTTTGATCATCTGTTATCTATAACAATGAAAAAATATATATCCCTTTCACAGATAGGCTCTGATAATGTGTATAAAAATGCAAATGTAAGATGATACACATTCATTGGCTTTTTATGAGACCTATTTGTTTATCTGAAGCCTCAAGTTTATTCAGGTGTATCATCTAAGTCTCCTAAATATTATAGTGGAAGGAAAGTGAGTTTTGGTGTCAAACAGACTTTCATTGGAATTATGGCTCCATTTTTTACGATCTGTGTTATTATGGGCAAGCTACTTTACATCTCTGAATTAGTAATGATAATAACCTCCTTGTGCGGTGTTCGCAATGGTTAAAAAAGATCAAATACATAACATGCCTGCCTAGTACATTGTGGTCTCTGAATAAAGGTTATGATAGTGTTATCATAATATTATTCACTACATTGTCTATTGGAGCAGAGTATTAACTGTATAATCTATTAGGAGATATAAATTAGAAGGTAAATTAGTTGGCAAAAGAGGTACTTAGAGCCAAGAAGCATGGCTAACCTTGCTTTCCTTTTTCTTGGGATTCAGTTGAAGGGTCAGATTATAATATACTCTGAGTATTATGCTCTTAGCCACATAGTCATATTTCCATGTTGGCCAGTTGGCTTCATTCCCTCTGATAGCAGCATTGCATCCTTAACCATTTCTTGCTGATGCATACTAATAGTTATAAAAAGAAGTCAGAACTGTTGCCACTTCTTTAAATAATAGTCACAGGCATTTCAGAGCCCCTACTATAGTAGATTATAATGTCATCTTTATAAAACCAAGAACAATGCAATCATCATTTTCTCATAGAATCCACTCAATCTGTGTGTGAAGATTGTACAAGGAATCCGGGCCATGGAAGTTGATTCTAGCCAGTACTCTTTGGAACTGATCCAGATGGTCCATTCGTGCCTTGACCAAGTAAGTGTGACTTACATATTGATTTCAGTTTAGTATTTTCCCTTCCAGCTTTAGTGTTTGGGGTATGATATAGGTGAACCTACACAAAACCACATCCACTTCCCCAGGTAGGAAGTATTTGTGGTTGTACCCAGAAGAATAGGCATTCACAATCAATAATAGTTGTATGCTTCAGCCAACAAATTCTTAATTTTTTCTGCTTTGTTCTTTATTAATTTCTGAAATGATTTTACTATCTAAATTACGCTCCATTTTTTTATGATCAAGATTAACTTTTGTAACTTGATTTTATACAAGTATAGTCAGAGGTAATTTAGAGTTCTTAATGTAAGTATATATATAGTTCTAATATCTCACAGTTTGCCTTGCAGTGTAGCTCTACGTCATTATTAGTCAAATCAATAATAGTTGTATGCTTCAGCCAACAAATTCTGGGGTGGGGGAGGGTGAGGTTACAAGTAAAAAAATGAAGATCTCTGTAGATAAAGCCCAGAAATCTTTATTTGTAACATGCTTATTATGTTCTATATATATATATGTTGAAATTTGAGAGCCACTGCCCTAACTGAACAAGTGAGAGAGGTGCATTTTCATTTAAGTACAAGTGTTGATGGTGATGAGATAAGCATGAAACATGGAATGAGACGTAAGAAATTATGTTTTTTGAGACGAAAGGATAATATACAGTGGTCTTGAATTATTATCCAACAGCCTTCTAGAGGAAGTGAAATGCCTCTTTAGATTCCATTTTGCCCATTCCCTTTAAATTAAAACTAGCCCCATTTGAACTTCTTAGGATCCTGAGCAGAGACCCACTGCAGATGAACTGCTAGATCGACCTCTTCTCAGGAAACGCAGGAGGTAAAATACAAAGATGTCACTCTGTTGTCTTTCTGTAGGTGATTGACTGTTAGAGGCCCGGCCAGAGTACCACAGGAGAGAGTGGTATTTCCTGGCTTGACTGCTCTCGTACTGTTTTCCACCAACATCTCTGCTTTTATCGTTTGGGGATAGCTCCTGACTTTCACCTCCTTAGCCTATGCTATTTTGTTCCAAATGTATACTAATGAGGCTGTAGAGTCCAGTGCTCCCCACATCTATGAGTTTTAATCCCAAATTGGGGCATAGAGTGTGGTAATTAAGAGGAGGGCTTTCGACTCAGACATTTTTAGGTTTGTATCTGAGTTCTGTCATTATCTTTGTCAAGTTATTTAACATGTCTGTTCCTTAGTTTTCTCCTCTATAAAGTGAGGTGAGGTGAGGATTAAAGGAGGTCATGATGAAGTGCTCAGCCCAGGGCCTGGCACAAAGTGCTCAACAGTTGTTGGATAGTAGTGTAGATTTGAAACAGGCCTTTGTTTTTAGTGCATTCCTTTAGATGGTTGGTTAGAGTTGGAGGGGGTCTTCTTCAGATATCTTTTGCCCATTTCTCAAAGTTGAGCTTGATTGATTCCTGACAGGTTATTTCCTGAGATTTATTCTGTTAGTGGGCTTTAGAGATAAGGAGTAAGTCCTTTATCTCTCACTTTCTAGAGAGGCTTCTTAAAAGAAGCCTAACTTAAAAGAAGAGGTGTTCTTTATCCTTCTTAAAAGTTCTAGTCTGTGTTTCATCCTATTATATTGTTTTTGCCTTACTTCCCTTCTTCCTCCCCTACCAGTTCTTTGTTTCTATATCTTCCTAATATTCAGACATTTACTATGCTCTTTTTTAAGTCTTGCCCTTTAGATACATTAAGCATATACAGAATTCCACAATCTTTTCTGTTTGGTTAATACCTTTATTCTGTTGTGTCAGGTTCTTTTCCAGAACAGTGTTTTAGTGCCTAGAATTATGTGTGATATTCCAAATACAGGACCGTGACCTTCCTTTTATGTTCTTTGTATATTCAGGCAGTATCACCCTTTGTGAATCAGTAGGCATATTTACATTTTTTATCTGACTTATTTTCCAACACTATGATCGCTATTTTAACCTCTTATTTAAATATTTTCACGATAATTTTTAATTGCAGCTTTTATTGAGATAATTGTAGATTTACACACAGTACTTTATTAGAACTTTGTACTTTGAGTTTTCCAGATAAAGCAGACACAACAAGTTGTGGAAAATATTCAGGAAACACCAACTCCTATTAAATAGATTAGCAGTTCTAGACCTGGGCTCTCAAGAGCAGCATCTTAGGAGCTTTCAAAAAATATTGATGCCTAAGCACTGCTCTAGGAATTGAGCTATAATTGATTTAATCCTGGACCAGAACATGGGGAGTAAGTAGAGGGAAGGAAGGCTGGAAAGGTAGCTAGAGAATCTTGGTAGCTAGGAATTTGTGCTTAATTAAAAAAATAGTACAGAAGTATTGGATGTTTATGAGAGGGCAGTTCATGTGGTGAGAAGAGTGCCTAAGAGTTATTTAGCAATACTAATATCAGTGTTAAATCAGTATAGGACTGATTAAAGTGGATTGGACGTGTGGTGAGACCAATTAAGAGGTGCTACCATAGTCCAGGTGGGAAGTAAAGCTGCCCCGAACTAAGGCAGTGAGACTGGAAAGGAGAGGTGAGTATGAAGAGCACCATATAGATAGAATCTCTAGAACTTGGATATTGAAAAAAGGAAGAGAAATGAGTCAGAAATGACTGAGGTTTTTAGCCTAGTTAACTGGGAGAATGGGGGCTGGCAGTTATAGAAATAAAGGAGTGTCAGAAAGAAAAGCTGTGTGGGAGAAAGATAATGAGCTGAGATTTAGAGATGTCGAGTTTGGGGACTCACTGGGCAGACTAGGTGGAGATGATAGCAGGTACTTAGAAATGTGCATCACAGGTCCTCAAAGCTCTCTGTTCCAGTGGAACATTTCTCAGAGATAGAAAACAAATGCCACAAACTGCTGGCCCCCTTATATTTAATGAATTGTCTAAAGCCAGGCCTATGTAACTGTTCGAGTTGTACTGAGGTACTTTCCTAAAAGTATTGTAAAGTTGTAGGAAGCATATTGTTTATAGAGGATTAAATCTGTGAAATGCATTAAAGAGACACCAGTGCAATGTAGGAACCTATTATTTTGCTCATATATCTTTGCCTTTCTTTTGGTAGAGAGATGGAGGAAAAAGTCACACTGCTTAATGCACCTACAAAGAGACCAAGGTAATGCTCAAGAGACTCTTGAAAAGTAATGTATATTAAATTACCACCAGGGGATCTTTCTTTGTTGGGTCTGTGCATTGTTTGATCACAGTAATTAGCCTTTGGCATCCTTTCAGAAGCCAACATCTGCTTAAAGGTTAGATAGTCATTTCTGAGAAAAAGAAAGCTATAATTTCATCCTCCTGCTAAAGTGGACATCATTACCATGATGAATGTTGACAAGTTGAAAAGTGTAGGTGTTATGGATCAGACTGGAATCCTATCTGGCCGAGCTGTGATGAAGCCCTGAGGCAGAAATTGCAAAGCCTGCTGTGATAGAGGGTTGAAGTAAGTTGTTGAGAAAGAACATACTTTCTCATACCATAATTGGCAGTTCTTCTCAGGGAGCAGACTGGAAGCATTTTTCTATGGTACAGTTTTTATGTTAAATGTGCCTTTGTTCTGGGGGGTTGTTGGCAGGTCAAGCACTGTGACTGAAGCACCCATTGCTGTGGTAACATCACGAACCAGTGAAGTCTATGTTTGGGGTGGTGGAAAATCCACTCCTCAGAAACTGGATGTCATCAAGAGTGGCTGTAGTGCCCGGCAGGTGTGTGCAGGGAATACCCACTTTGCAGTGGTGACAGTGGAGAAGGAACTGTACACCTGGGTGGTAAGTGAAAGCTAAGTACTTTAGAACAGTGGTGTAAGTGTAATTGATTACAGGCCCAGGATGTCTTAAGTATTTTGTTAGTTCAGCATGTGCTGCGGGAGTGGCAGCATGGGGTAATGGAATGTAAGCTCTTTCAAGAGCAGTGAGTTTGTCTGTTTAGAATTCACTGATGTATGCCCAAAGCCTGATACATATTAGGACTATCATATATGTTTTTTCAATGAATGAATGAATAAGAGGGAAAGAATTAAAAAGGCCCTGGATTTGGACTCTCTCATTTACAGTTTATTTCAGAAAGTTGCTTAACCACTTCGTGTATTACCATGAGGTTCAGAGCAACTAGTATCTATGAAATACCTTTGTAAACAAATGAAGCACTGTGCCATGTCAGGAAAATTCCAAGACTTCATCAGTGATTGAAGTTGGCTAGGTATATCTCAAGTAGGATTTTCCTTTGTTTCCTTCTAGATTCTACCCTGTCTCTCACCTTCTTGAACAGATTGCTTGTATTTGCTGTCTCTTTCTTTATCTCCCACTCGTTTCTCATTCACCTACAATGCAGCTTACTTCCCTGCCATTCGATTGAAACTACTATTGACAAAATGACCTATAAATTGTGAAAATAAGTCAGATACTTTTTATAAGCAAGTCCTTTTTATAAGCAAGTCCTTATATTCCTTGATCTCCTAGAAGCATTGATACAGTTGACCACTCCCTCCTTCTGGAAGCTTTGTCTTCCCTTGGCGTCCATGAGAGCATGTTCTCTTGGCTTTTCTCCTATTTCTTTGGCTGTGCCTTCTCAGGCTCGTTTCCTTTACCCAACCTTGTCTTAGGCCCTTGGTTCTCTCTCTGCCTCCTCTTTCTGAGGGAGCTCATTTTCCCACTAATTTTGGATGACTTCTCCATGAGGACAGGCTTTATCCCCAGTGTGTGATAGAGCAGACAGATTCAGCTATTGATCTTTGAAAGAATGAACGAATGATTTGGCCTCTATTGTAGAGTATTAACTTGTTATTTCCTAAAACACTACTGCTTAAAGAACTAGCCTTGGGTGTTTTGCCACAGGTGAAGTTAAGAGGTGGAGGTAGAGAAATTAGTGCCTTAAAAAAAAAGTTTATATAAAGACTTACAGTTGAGTTATTAAATGAAAAGAATTACTTATCTTTATAAAATTGTTGAAAAGTCACTTAGGATTATTCTCAGTGCTGTATAGCAGCCTCTTTGATGTAGCCAGATTCTTTATAAATGTTCTATATATCAAGGAAACTGACAAAAATTTGTAAACTTCTAGTAAGGATTTACAAGAGGCTATATTCCTACAGAAAATAAATTAGACTATATAAAGAATTTTTTTTCACCATTACCTATAATTAAATATATAGTTTACCTTAGACTTAAAGGAGAAAGACAAAATTGAGAATGTATCCTTATTTTAAGGCATAGTGGATATCAATCTGGATATTTTTCAAATCTTTACCTGCTGGCAGGAGTTTTATACTACCTACCATTAGAAGGTTTAATCTCCTTGCTAATTTTTTTTTTTTTTTCATTTCTAAATCTCCAGCTGATTTTTTTCCAACTGTTTTTCTTAATAAGAAGTTATATTGAAAATTCGCTTTTGGCATGAGAAGTTAAACCTTCACAAGACCTCTTTATTTCACAGAACATGCAAGGGGGCACTAAACTCCATGGTCAGCTGGGCCATGGAGACAAAGCCTCCTACCGACAGCCAAAGCATGTGGAAAAGTTGCAAGGCAAAGCTATCCGCCAGGTGTCATGTGGTGATGATTTTACTGTCTGTGTGACAGGTAAGTCATCAGCAGAAAACACCCAAGTATACTTAATGCTGTGCAGTTTTAGTTGGGATTTTACAACCAAAGACAGTGAGCAAATATATACATTAATAACTACATGCCCAATTTGCTATAGTATTTGGGGTTTGATGAGCAAGGAGCAGACAAGTGGATAAGAGAGAAGTGGGATCAGGAGAAATATGTTGTATATGGCCTAGATGTAGCAAAAAATAACCTCACCACCTAGTCAGGTGTGGATAACACTAAATCAAGAATCAAGAGCTAAAATTTAGTTTTGTTCTTGCTGTTACTCACTTTATGATTCCTTGGTACTTCTCTTTTTCTCTAAAAGTGGAGATGGCCCCAGTAAAATTATAAGCTTTTCTAACATGCTAATACTACCACTCTTTAAAAACAAAAAAACAAAAAACTGTTATTGTAACAGTACATGCAACCCCCTAAATGCAAACAACATGCAGATCATCTTTCAGATTTCTCTGATGTAATCATCTCATACGAGATCATTGGCTGGGGTAGTCTTCATTCCAGCCCTGCCCAGCTTTCCAATTGGACAAAATAAGTCATTCTTTTGATGGGTTCTGCTTTTCTTTTGCAGATGAAGGTCAGCTCTATGCCTTTGGATCTGATTATTATGGCTGCATGGGGGTGGCTAAGGTTGCTGGCCCCGAAGTACTAGAACCCATGCAGCTGAACTTCTTCCTGAACAATCCAGTGGAGCAGGTCTCCTGTGGGGATAATCATGTGGTTGTTTTGACACGAAACAAAGAAGTCTACTCTTGGGGCTGTGGGGAATATGGTAGGTGTGGCCTTGCCTCTGTCCACTTATTCCTAGGCATACAACCTGACTTGAAACGTCTGTGCATCAAAACACGTCATGCAGCCTCTACTTGAGAAGTGTTAATTCAGTAAAAAAAATCTTATAGAATGTTTTCCTTGGGAAGGAGTCCATCATTTTAATGATTTTTTTTTTTTATGTGTGTCTCAGGACGACTGGGTTTGGATTCAGAAGAGGATTATTATACACCACAAAAGGTAAAATCAGAGGCAGCTTCTTCCTAAAGCTTGTCTAGGTCACACAGTCACAAGTCCTCTTTCCTTGACTCCTCATATCAAGGTGTTTTATTTCTGAAATATTTCCTATCTGGGACACTGACAATCCAGGATTCCTGATTTAGCACTGTGCAGTCTTGTCATCTGACTAAATCATGAGAAAGAGGATACATCCACTGTGGACACTCGGGAGTCACATCTTAACTCAGGAATTAGAGCTAAAATCGTCTTGTACAGTGAAAAAGTCACATTGAGCTAAATACACCCTGGAAAATTCCTTGGAAAGATATTGGCAAGTAATGTATTGTCTCTTAACCCAACACAGTCATTTTCCCCTTCTATTCCACAATTGAACACTAGATGAAATAGTTATTTTTATTTAGCACTGCACTAGCTGACACAGGAGCTGAAACCAGCCGAGGGAAGAGCACAGTCACATATCTCTTACATCCACCCTTGTGCACAAGCTCGCCCACTCGAAGGTTGACCATAATCTACTATACCATTCACTAGAACGTTTATATTTTTAAAATTAACTTACCTATTTGTGGGACTATTCTCAATGTGATTCCCAGCTATTCCTCTTCTCCTGAAAAGGCTATACTAGAAATTTTGATGTTTAAGTTTTCAGACATCCATCATGTCCACCCACTGTTCTCTATCCCTGTCTAGTTAGCTGCAAAGGGATGTGAGCCTTTGGAAGTCCTGGCTGGTACCTCAGTGTTCTTATCTCCTCACCTATAATATGACCAGACTGGGACCCCACAGGGCCACTGAGTTTCTTTTATAACTGTCCTGGGGTTTTCTGCTTCAGAGGACAAAATGGGCAATGGGGAATGAAGTTTCTCCTTTCCCAATGTCACCTGAGAAGTTCTAAGTAAGACCTATTGCTAAAACAAACTTTGGGGTTATCCATTTAGCTGACGTGGAACTACCTTCTGTTACTTTATTATAAAACTTGAGCTCCTTATTGAAAACAGTAGCCTCTAAGCTGCAGTGCATATCTGAATAGAACAACCTTTACTTCCCTATTGTCATTCTGCTAAATGTAGGACATCACTTTTGAAAGAATCTGAAGGTTTTTTCCTAATATAAGTTATATCTAGGGGATTTTTTTTTTTCTCACAGGTGGAGGTTCCCAAGGCCTTGATTATTGTTGCAGTTCAATGTGGCTGTGATGGGACATTTCTGCTGACCCAGTCGGGCAAAGTGCTGGCCTGTGGACTCAATGAGTTCAACAAACTGGGTCTGAATCAGTGCATGTCTGGAATCATCAACCACGAAGTGGGTACCTCCTTTGGTGTCCTAACCACATTATCAGAATTTCTTTGGGAATGCTGTTGTTATTGGTTAGTGACCATGGAATTTGACTTAAGAATAAAGTGAGGATCTCATTATGTTCAGCAAAAGAAGCCAGCCACAAAAGAATACATACTATATAATTCAAATAGTATGAATTTTAAGAACAGGCAAAATTAACTTATGATAGAAGTTAAAATAGTGGTTACTTCTGGGAGGAGGGGCATGGGTATTAACAGAAGAGGTGGGAGAGGGATGGGTTCTAGGATGGTGGGAATGGTCTGTATCTTGATCTGGTGGTGGCTTTACATTTATAGGCATACAGAAAAATCAACCTATATAATATTTTATAGTATGATATACCTTAAAAAAAATTTGATTACAAAGAATCATGAAGGATTCAGGTTCTACCTTATCACCGAAATAGGTGCAAGAAAATCAACATTATGAAAACAAATATATTTCCAAGCATCACTGCCCTGGAGAGTTTTTTTATATTTATTACTCCCAAATCACTAATCCTGTACAGGTTTATTAAATATAATTACCACTCACCTCCTTCAAGAATGTCATGAAATTCACTACTGATATTAAGTCTTAGTCTCCTCTTTGTATTAGTATGATGAGTTTTTATCATTTTCTAAAGAATTAAATTAAGAGACAGCTCCACACACACACAAAAAAAGCTCATTGCACCTGACAAAATTAACAATAATTAAGGATTTTTAAAGCAATCTCTGACGCAGTGGTTCTCAAATAGGAGAGTACAGATTTGGGGCAAGTCTAGAGATGTGTCTTTGTGGTTCGAAAAGATATTAGTGCCCTCTGATCTGTGGTTTCACTTCCCAAGGTTTTGGTTTCCCACAGTCAACCACAGTCCAAAAATATTAAATGAAAAATTCCAGAAATAAACAATATATAAATTTTAAATTGCACACTGTTCTGAGTAGCATGATGAAATCTCGAGTTTTCCTGCAATTGGCTTGAAAGGCTTTTTGGTCATTATAACAACATTCTCAGCCTGTTTACTCCTTGATTTTTATCT